AAAAGAGCTTCAGAAAAAGATGAATATATTGCTCAACTTGCAAGAGACCGAGAAGATTTAAAAGTAAATGTTATAAATGCTTTTTATAATCATTTTTAAACAATAAACTAAGTCAATTTAATTCAAATACTGAATATGCAAAATTTGTATATGTTTTTAATTAAATTATTTCTGACAATAAACCATTATATTATTTCTGAAAAAAATTGCATTTGTGTTTTTTTTATGCAAACATATCTTTAATTATACAAAATAAATAAATATTTTTCTAGGATAAACTTGGAGAATTGCAAAATCTTGTAATGAGGTTATTAGAAGAAAGAAAACAATTTCAATCTCAGACACAGATAATGGATACTAATTTGGGTTTTGTTGAAATCCCTGACATGGCAACTGATAAAAAGGACTTATGTAAGTCTCTTTTCATAGCATTATTATTGTGAATTTTTTTGCTGTGTTGGTTTTAAATAAATATAATTTATTTTATTAAAATGTAGTTATTAATTTAAAGTTCTTCTTAACAACTGCAAATATATAAGTTTAAACACTTTTCTTTTTGTAATTGATTATTTAGAATTAGTATTTACATTTTTGTGTGTGTAATTTATAGCTTTGAAATTTTATTTCTTTTCCTAATCTTCAAATCACCCTTACTTATTAATTTTATCACTATTAACCTGAAGGCTTTATACTTTATTTTTTTCTATAGTTGATTTCAATAAATTAATATTTTAATTTCATATGAAAATTATAGAGTTCAAGTTTAGTTAGAGACATGTAAATACAATATTTTTTTCTAAAGGTTTGAAATATTATTTTCATGTCAAATCATTTTCTTTTTAACATATGTGTTAATAAGTTGTATTAATGATAAACTGTTAGTTTTTTTTTAATACAGCACAGTATTTGAAATAAATACTTTTAATTTTATTAAATAAATAACTGCATGTAGTGCTTTAAAATATGATTTAATTCACATTGTATATAATTATAGTTATTTGTGTGTGTGTTTCTTAAATATAATTTTTCTTTGAAATTTTGAAGCCATGTTAAGATGGCAGAAAAGAGAAGATATAGCTAGAAAGAATTTTATATCTAGGCAATCATTTTGAGTTTCTGAATACTTTGCTTTCTTCTCATGGTTTTTATGCCTTAGTAATTGTGTGTACTTCATCTTGTAATTGTTCTGCTTTTGCTGATTTAAACAGATTTTATATTTATTTTAATTTTCGATTATTTTAACTTGTATTTAGCTTCAATATTTGTGTCAAAGGAGTTAACATATCTAAGATATTGTTTAATGCACAAGATGTAGATATGTTTATCAGCTTTGCCTGACATTAATAAAAAAAACTGCATGCGGATATATGTCAAATTTATATTGTTTATTAATAATTTCATTTTAATTTCAGCTAAAGATTTATATAACACTGAAAGGGAAATTAAAGTCGAAAAAGATGCAAGTTTATCAGAAATTGAATCGTCCAAGAAACCCGAAACTACTGCTAAGAAAATCATTGATCTTTTAACTGAAATAGAATCCACAAATCTTGTAGAAAAACCTGTGCTGGAAAATTTTCATCCATGTCCTGTGTGTTCTGGCAGATTAATTACTGTATAAAATATATTCCAATTTAGACTTTTCAATATATAACAGATGTGCCTCAATGAAGTATCACCAGTAAGCCCTATTGCACGACATCAAGACTTGCATTTCGAAAGGTAGAGGAAAACGCAATGCAAAGAAACTAATTGTAAATAATTATTTGCTTTTTGTAGATAAAATGGAGAACAAAAATTCTCAGTTGTCTCTTGTGAGGAAGTTTTCTTCCTTTTCTATTCTTTACTTATTTTCGTTTCAGCCCTTTATTTATAGTTGGATTTATCAACATATACATTCCATTTGTTACTAAAATTTGGATTGGATTTTTTGATAATTTTTCTTTTGCTTGTGGTCTCATTTAATTTAAGTTCTATCCAATATTAGGCCAGTATAATAGGACTTTTGTAATATATGCAAATGTAATGTAGTTTTATTGTGAATTTGTATTGCATTTTTCTTATTTTCTCGATGTTAAAATTAAATAGAAAAAATACGATTGAAAACCCAATTATGTTATCTGTCGGGTCTCAGTTTATATTTATGCTGGCATTTTTATTTGGGAATGTTAAGATTCAATTTCTATTCTTTAACCAGCAAAAGAAGTAATTTGGGCTGTAAGAAAAATAAATATCCTATTTCTAGTCTTACTTTCCGAAATAAATGCTAAATAACAATGGAACGGGGGCCTTGAATTGTGATATTTTCTTGTACTACTTTTATAAACAATTTGTAATATAGTTAATAAATTAAAGACATTTCATGTGTATTTCCTACTGTAATGAAATATTTTGAACTTGGCTTCCAATAATTTATTCCTGACTATGGTTAATCTCCAAAATTATTATGCTAAATAGATAATTTATTAATAAATTTAAATATATTTGATTGTAATTTTTTCTTTCATTATAAAATAATCTTTGTACTGTTTGATTTATTTATATTGCCATATGCTTAGTAGATTTCAGTTATTTTACTTTTAATGCCATAATATTTTAATTATATTTTGTTATATTGATATGTGAGCACTTAGTTAATGTACATATAAAGTTTATTTAGATAAAATACCTATTCTAAATGTTTAAATGATGTTGCTTTTTAAATTTCCTGTTGCAATATATATATTTTTTTCCATTCATATGCTTTAATTTGATTCTATATGAAGTGTAATGTAACATTATAAAAAAATTAATATAATGGAAAAACAAACAATATTTTATTATTAAAATAATTAAAAACTTTGTTGTGTCACTTCTAAACTCTTGATTTGAATTGTTTATTTACTATTTTTAATTATCTAAGGAAGTAACTTCCAGAGTTCCAAATAGGAGAATGCAGTTGGTACTTTTACTACAGTGCCAAAAAGTAAAACCATTTTTTTTTTTTTTTTTTAAACCTCTTTATTTCATGGTCTTTAAAGTAATCCCCTCCGGACACAATGTACTTATGCCAACTTTTTTTCCAATCCTTAATGCATGCTAAAAAGTCATCGGCAGGGATGGCCTTCAAAACGCGCGGCGATTCACTTTGAATCTCTTCAATCGACGCAAAACGGTGTCCTGGGAGTGGTCTTTTGAGTTTGGGGAATAGGCAGAAGTCGCATGGTATGAATACGGTGGTTGTGGAACGATATGGGTTTCATTTTTGGCGAAAAAATGCAGTGTGAGCTGGCGCATTCAGTGTTTTCGGTACCAATCGAGAGTTGAACGATCCTTTTGAAATTCCAAAATCATCAGCAAGGTCTCTAATTGTAAATCGACGTTTTGCAAACACCAAATCTTTAATTTTTTGGACGTGAGCTTTGTCAGTTGAGGTTAAGTGTTGACCAGAAGGCTCTTCGTCTTCAACGCGTTCTCTGCCTTTGAACTGTTTATACCACTTGTAAACATTTATTTCCGATATAGGAATGCCTTCTGCAACATTCTATACGTTTCCGCAAACAAAATTGAATGCAAGTTCTTTTCTCAATTAATTCAGACATTTCAAAAATCGCCGGAATCGGTTTTCACACAGCCAAAATAACTCAAGCACTAATTGAATATTTTGATGTCAAATTTCACACAGATGCCAAGGACAGTTCCAGCAACCTAAAAAAGAAATTGAAATTCCATAAGCCCCGGTAATTTTGAATCGAAAATTGATCTTATTTAGTAATTTATAATTTTGGTTGGCTACATATTTTATCTCAGTTTAAAATAATAGAATATCAAATTCAATGAAAAATTATCATTCCTAGATTTAATACACAATCACTTTTTATAGAAAAATTTTCAAAACATTTTTTTAAACAGTAACAGTTATCTTTTATGCGACAAACCTAAAGTTGATACTCATAATTTTATTTAAGAAGGTTCTACACTTTAAATTCCCTGATTATATATGAAAAAAAAAAAAAAAAAAATGGAGTCTTTTTGTAGTAGTACTTTTACACATTGGTTTTTTTAATAATTTTTAGGAATGATCAATGGTATTAATTGGTTAAGATGTAAGTGAACAAGATTCAATTAAGCAGTTAATATCTAAAGAAGAAAAAAAATGGAATTTTAAAGTTCTGCTAATATTAACTGAGTAAATCGAAAAAGATCATAAATAGATTTGTTCATTAGTATGCCAGCTAAAAAGTTTAAAAAAATTCAAATACACTCATGTGATATAATATGTGGCTGTATATATATAATGAATCACAGTAGTTAAAATATCAAAATAATTTGATATATAATATTTTACATGACATTTTGGGCATGCAAAGGCTCTGCATGAGGTAAGTGTTGTGCTAAGAAAAATTCAATAGGGAAACTATTTCAACTGAGAATTTAGCTCTGTGTAAACAGAAACCCGGTAGATCTTTGTGTTGATTCATAAATATGGAATTTTTGAAACAATGCAATGAGGCTAATGAACCAACCCCACAGAAGATAAAAACTTTGCAGCCAACAAGTTTATGATGTTATTTTTTCTGGGATGCAAAAGGAAATATATTCATTGATTATCTCGAAAAGGATAAAACCATCAATAGTGAATATAACTTATTGTAGCACCTGAGAGAAAAAGTTAAGATAAAGCAACCAGGTCCATTGGGAAAAAAAGGGAATTTAACTAGGACGATGCTACATCATCAATCATAGCATTGGCTAAAATCAGTGAATTCACGTTCGAATTGCTTGCTAATTTTCCAGATTTAGTACTTGGTGATTACTAACTATTCCCTAACCTTAAAAAATGGTTTGGTGAACAATGAAGTGGTTACTGATTCTGTACATGAGTATTGTAAGATGCTCGACAAATCGTTTTATAAAAATGTCGTTAAGTTACAACACCAATATGAAAAGTGTATTAATCTTTTTGGCGATTATATTAAAAAAATATTTAAACATTCAATTAGCAACATTAATTTCGGCCAACGGCTATACCATGCTGAATATACCGGCCGGTTCTCTTTGATCACCGAAGTTCAAGCATCATCGGGCGCGGCCAGTACTTGGGAGGGTGACCACGTAGGAACACCACGTGCCGTTGGCATTCAAAATTGGAGCCTTGAATGACCGAGTGTGTCTAGCGCTTGGTGCCACAGGTTTCGGGTTCGAGTCCCGGCGGTGCCATGGATGTTTGTAGTGGTTCGGAATCCACTTTAAGCCATATGACTGTAAGAGCATCACGGAGCAAAAGTCAGGCTTCTACCTACGGGTTCTCCATCACAACAGAAGCTGCTTCCTTCCCCTTCAATCGTGAGTACGTATGGGCTATTATAGTGGGCTTGGCATAGAAATGTCTGCCAAGTGGGATAAGAAACAACAACAACATTAATTTCGCACATTTTTAAAAATTCAATTTTTTGAATATTTTAGTCTATAATGAAAAAGATTGCTTCTTTGCAAAATGCTATTGTGAAAAGAATTACATAAACATTGGCAATTTATAAAATACAGTCTTAAAAGAGGAGGTAAAAAAAAAAATTAAACTATCAGACATTTATTTATTATTTTTATTTACATCCGGTTTATTTGGGACTTCTCCTGTTTTGAATTTACTGTGTTATTTCCATAGAATATCCGAGTAAGAGGTCAAAACAATTTGTCTTCTATGTGCGTGTTGTATGTATTGCCGATTCATTAATGCTTAAATATTTCACTCTTATAAATTGATATTTGAGAAATCGTGTCGATACGAACGAAAAGAAATCGTAAAATTCATACTATCGAAACAAAGGTGGAAATAAACGTTCTAAGAACGGTGAATCTTTTGCTTCAATCGGACATTTGTACGTTTTACAATATGCTCAATTTTGAAAAAGAGTAAAATTAAAGAATACGTTCAAAAGCGTGGAATTGATAGAAATAGATTGTTTCAAAAAGACATAACATAGTGATCGATGAAATTTGAAGACCTTCGATCATCATGGATTGATGATCAACTTCAAAATGCTCCTCTTGATTTATTCAATTATTCAAGTTAAGGCTCTTAGTTTGCATGAAGATTGGAAGACTACATTAAATGAAAATTCGGTACTTACGTATTAACGCCACCGCAGCTACACATTTGGCGGTTTTTAAGAGGCGTCAATTTACACTTAAAATTTTCGTGACAAATCATAAAATATATAAAACACTTTATTTAAAATCAAAACACTTTTTAAATAAAGTGTTTTGAATTTTGAAACAAAGTAGTCAATCGGATTTCGGTGGAAAATGGGCCGATGTAGAGTTTAAAATAGATTCAAAACAGTCTCTATTTTGGCGCATTGGCAGCTCTTTATTGGCGCATTAGCGCAACTTCTGCTGCGGTGGCGTTAATACGTAAGTACCGAAAATTCTAACACTGTGTTTCAAGCAAGTAATGGTTTGTTCAACGAATTCAAAATGAGATATTCTTCACATAATATTGAATTCACTGGAGAATCAGCTGAATTTGAATTTATTTCCTCATTGTTCAGAATTATTTTATATGGAGAATATTCTTCTAACCAAATATTTAACGTAGATCGAACGGGTTTATATCGAAAAAAAGTCTAATTGTATATTTTTTTATCGAAGGAATAGTCAGTTGCCCCTAGACATAAACCTTGCAAAAAACCGATTGACATCGCTTCTGGGCGGAAAATTGGCTGGTGATATAAAATTGAAGCCATTGTTAGTTTACCAAAGTGAAACTCTCAGAGTATTGAAAGGGAAATATAAACAATTGTTTCCAGTCAATTGGAAATGAAATAAAAATGTTTAGATTACTACATTAATACTTAAAGATTGGTGCCCGACTCGTGGTTCAGTGACAACGTGGGCTGCTGGTGAGCATTAGAGTTGAGGTTCAAACCGCTGGCGGGTTTGTTGTAAACGCTGTTTAAATAAATTAATAGTTTATAAAAACTAAAAAAACACGCTTTTAGAGTTAATCAAAGTAAAAAATAATTGTTAACATAAGAATAAAATGACTGACGAGAAAATGAATGTCACTGTTCTAAAAGCGTGGGGAGCACGATATCAATCGTTGTAATTTTTCACTAGTTTCATTCCGAAATGCAGAGTTAGTTTGAAAATGTCGTACCCCACGCTTTTAGAACAGTGACATTCATTTTCTCGTCAGTCATTTTATTCTTATGTTAACAATTATTTTTTACTTTGATTAACTCTAAAAGCGTGTTTTTAAACTATAATATTTAAATGAGGTCCCGGTACGGAGGACTGGTTCTTACAATAATTTAATTGTGAGTAAAACAAAGGCTAACTCGAATATGTCGAGCCAGCCAGGATTCGAACAGGGAATCTCCTAATCAGGCGCGTTATCCGTTGTGCAGCTGTCCCACGTAGGTTTGAATATCTGAAAGATGCCTGTAAATGTTTCTTTGCAGCTTATATAGTGTGTATGAGGAGAAGCAGATCTCTAGGGAAAAAAATTAAGCGCCGTCAAGATGACTTTTCAAAGGCTGTGTGTTTTAATCCCTAATCCTGATGAGATAATAAACTTATCAAAATATTTTAGTGTCGTCGGTCCTTGATAAGTCTACAACGTTTAAATTAAATCGGATCGCTTAAAGTAGGGCAAAATCGAGCCCAAAGAGTCAGTTACATACATACAAACAAACACACAGGGGAAACTAATAAAAGCGTATTCAAAAACGAGGAGCGTTGATTTCGTGTCTTAGTTCAGCTTCTTGCCTCGTTAGTCGGACTGTTGGGAGTTTTCCGAGGCCTCCTTCCCTGCGATCACAAATGCGGGGTAGTTCCCCCAGAAGTCCTCCTTCTTCAATGACACGGAACCATGTCAAAAGTCCAACTACGGGTGTAATGGAGAACAGAAGCTGTCCCTCTTTACCTCCTTCCATGAGACCACAAGGGTTCTTGGACTTGGTCTAGATGCTGCTGTGTACTAAGTAGGATAAGAAACAAAAAACATATTTAACGATGGGTTCACTTTTCATTTCATGGCGGCAGTTAAGTAATATTTTTAAAAATAATAATTTACAATTTAAAGCATTATTAATCTTAGACAATGCTCCAGAACACCTATAATATTTGCAAAACTTAATGTCTATGTTGTGTTTCTTCCTCTCGATACTACCTGCCTCCTACAGCCTATGGACCAAATAGTGATAGCTACGTTTAGATATTATACTACTACACCAGATCACTGTGCCTAGAGCTGAGTTGCCAGTTTACAGTTTGGAAATGATGTGGGTGAGAAGTCTGACTGGGCTCCGTGATGCTCTTAGTCATATCAGACCGGAACTCGAACCCAAAACTTTTGGCACCAAGTGCTAGACACTCGGCCATTCAGACCACAAATGATATTATATGAGGGCAAGAAGTGCAAAAAGATCTACTTCCTCGTAGTGCTCTTCGGGCAGCATCTGATACGGCAAAATGATCTACAAACACGGCCTTCAGTCTGGCTCTCAGTGTGAGTTTCTTACGAGTTCTGCTGTGGAACGCAAGCCCGTTATCATTGGTGGCATTGCTACGACTTTTTTGTGGTCACGATTCATTTCACACCTCGCAAACACCTTCACAGAATTAAACTGACTCCTGTGCGATAACCAGGATGAAATAGATATGTCTCACCTTGCTTCCTGTTTTTTCTATGGTAGCGTTATTGGATTGCCAGACTTAGTGGATGGCTTAACTTACTATTGTGTCCAAAAAGTAAGACCAATTTTAAATTTAAAGTTCCCGGGGCTTATGGAATTTCAATTTTTTTTTTTTTAGGTTGCTGTCGGTGTCCTTGACATCCGTCTGAAATTTGACGTGTCGGTGTCCTTGAGCTTTTTTCTCCATCGCATGCTCATAGGAAACATAATTTCCTATGCACGCTAGGGAGAAAAAGCTAAACGTCCTACGGTAACTAATACGGTATGCAAAAATCTAATGTTTGTGAGACGCTAAAACTGATTCCGGCGATTTTTGAAATGTCTGAATTAATGGAGCAAAGAACTTGCATTCAATTTTGTTTGCGGAAACGTATAGAATGTTGCAGAAGGCATTCCTATATAGCAAATAAATTTTTAGAAGCGGTATAAACAGTTCAAAGAAGGCGGAGAACGCGTTCAAGACGAGGAGACCTCTGATCGACCCTCAACCGACGAAGTTCACGTCCAAAAAATAAATATTTAGTGCTTGCAAACCGCCGATTTACAATTAGAGATCTTGCTAATGATGTTGGAATTTCAAAAGGATCGGTAAATTCCATTTTGGGCATCAAACGCGTCAAACCTCGATTGGTATCGAAAACACTGCATGCGCCAGCTCACACTGCATTGGTTCTTCGTGATTTCTTCGCCAAAAATGAAACCCATATCGTTCCACAACCACTGTATTCACACCGTACGACTTCTGACTATTCCCTAAACTCAAAAGACCAATCGACTCAAAACGGTGTCCCCGTAGTGAAGAGATTCAACGTGCGTATATATGCATATTGATAAATAAATATTTTAAAACACAGTTTTTAGTACATTTTTTTTTATTTTTTTATATCCTTCTATTTTCGATCATTCAACATTTGTACACACTTCCAAAACTAATTATGTTGAAAATAGTCTGCATGTCGTTTTATTTACAACCCAAAAGCTAATCAACTCACCCTCTTATTAGCAGAAATAACATCTATAGTTCGATATAAATATAATTATTCGATTTAAATATAAACATCCGTTTTAAAAGCAGAAAAGGAAGAATACTACTTTTAGAGGTACTAGTCAGATATAGGTGGTGCAAAAGTTGCTTTGTAAGAAAATAAGTATAACAGTATGAAACTTTTTCAATTCCTTCTATTAGCTCACACTCTCCCCATATATTTCTTGTTCAAATTTTCAATCGTTCATAAAATACATTTTATTCATCCACTCAAGTTCAAATACATTTTTTTGAACTTGCAGTGGATGACATTTGATGTTAATGCAGTTTTTTCAAATAATAAATTATCATTTAATTAATTTTATTTTAGATTTAAGTTGCATATATCTACCAATAGATGGCGCCCGATAAACTTAAAATAAATGAAAGTTATTTATAAAGGACTTTCTGCA